GAGTGGAGGGGGTGGGGTGGGGGGCAGTGCTGCTGCTGCCTCCCCCTGCCACAAAGCAGCAGGTTTGCTGCACATGCATGTCATGCTACGGGCACGCCCTGCCATGCCACCGCCACGCATCGCATGCATAGTGCTCACCGCTGCTGTGATTTCGTCCTCTGCGAGCCACGAAGGCCTGCAAGGATGGGAGCCCTGGGACTGGTCTTCCTGCTGCTCCACCCCGGGCACGTGCTCACGCCAAGTCCCCTGGACGTCGGCATGGCACTGCACGAACCACGCTCCTGCACGCGCGCGTGCCCAGCGCATCTCGCGCTCGTCCTTGCCGCAGGCCTCGCACGTGGCGGCTGCTGCCAAAGGCAGCTCGGGCGGCTCCTGTATGCACGAGGGCGTCAATAGAAAGCGGAGCAGGTTTCCCTGGAGAGGACGCCCTCGCTGCCCCCGATAGCTGGGACGCTACAAGCACCTTGCCCCTTTCGTCCCACGCAGGTCGCCGTAGGGAGGGCAGCGAGGAGTCCGGGAGACTTGCGCAGCTGGGGGAGGTCTTGCAGGTTTACGGCCCCCGTCTGCCAGGCTGGACATGGTTTTGTGAGGCTGAAAGGCTCAGGAAATACGCTGTTAGGACGTGGAGTTTCTTCCTAGGGAAAGTTGTGGCTTCAAATTCAGCCTGGCTGAAACATCCTTGTCCCCTAGCAGCCAGCGCAGAACAAAGTTGGTGTGCCTCGCTGTAGGTCAGCACAAAACCTCCACCCCAGCCACCTTTTAAGTGGCCAGTGTCAAAAGAAAGGCAAAGGATGCAACAGATTTCTCTTCTGTCCTCGTAAGCCCGCCACGCAGTGCTTCGCCAACACTAGCCTGCTTGCAGGGTGGGGGGAAGCTTTCAGCCCTGCTGTAGCTGTGCAAGGGGATGCCAGTCTCAGCGCTGTCTGGCCTCAACTCTAAAAGCAGTCCCTTAAAAACCCAAAAGCTTCACCTGCCAAATCCCAAGACATTCAAAAGCAGGAATCCTTCCCGGGCCTTCGCTGCCCTGCCACATGCCCACGTGATGCAGGAGGACACTGGAGGACAAGTGCGATCGGCGCTACCAGCGCGCGTGTCTGAAACGGGAATTTCTCTGCCAGGCTAAAAATAGCCCTGCTGCGGCTCGTCGCTCTGTCAATGTTGTGATTTGTTTCTAATTGCATCTCGCTTCTATGATTAAACACCCTGAAACATCTCCGGCAGGGAATATTATTCCAACCACGCCTTATCTTGATTGCCCTCCTATTCCAAACACAGAATTTCAATGTCTAAATAGCATCACGCAATGGAGGAAAAAAATAACTCCCTTCCCCCCTGCAAACACTGGCTTTGAGAAGCCAGCATCAAGGTGCTACAAATAAATCACTCTCACAAAGTAGGGCGATTACTGCGGTAATGGCAACCCACGCAGCCAGGAGCCGAGGCACAGCTGCCTGAATGAATGAACAGCATGCAAAGTTTTGTACCATTGTAGTATGTGACATGCTGTCAGGAATATCTGCTGGTTGCCATTACCCTCCAACATCCACTGCTCCAGTTTATTGGTTTAAAAGAGCACGGTTCAGTAAAACTCAGACATCTCAAACCAAGGTTTCTGAAGTGCCACTTATAACTTGGCATGGTTTGCTCAGGTGCATACTTCTCCCTGCACAAGCACAGAGTCCAATCACTGAGCAGCCGGGAGAAGTGGATTTGTAACTGGAGGCGTAATGCCTTGGAGAATTAGGGCACTTACTGAGGTGCTAGAGTAGAGAGCTACGCGTCCAAAGGGAAGCTGCAACCTTTGGAAGTCTTGGCTTTAGGAATGGGGGTAAGCAAAGATGATGAAATGTTTCGGCCTAGAAGGTTGACAGCAAAATCCCAAGCTGCAGACCGGCAGCAGCAATCGCATTATGCACATCGAACCCATGCCAGTCACGTACCCGTGCCTGCTTGGCATGTCAAGCTTCCAGCTGATTGAGTTAATCCCCTTTGCCTTGGCCTGGTCAGACTCCCATCTCAGATGGCAGATGAGGAATGACGGCATTCAGGTTGGGGAGCAGGGGCACCTGCCTAGGGAGATGGACATCTGTATCTTAGTTATTTCAAAAGGATGAGAGAACAAATCAAGAAGCCCATGCGATAGATACTAAACCCACTTAGGAGGAAGAACACGGGTCTGAGAGTGTATTAGGGCACCCTCCAACTGACACACAGCAGAGCCCATAAGCTTAGACCATCTGTCCTCAAATAAAGCCCACATGGGTTTCAGGCTCACATAGCCACTCAGCTTTCAGCTCACTTAATTCCTCGCCGAGTAAGAACAATCTGCATTATCCTGACCTATCTGGAGTCCTTCCTCTGAGTGTCCCTCACACCCTGCTCATCCTCATATCAGTGCCAGAGCACCCGTAACTCCCATAAGACGCAAGGGAGAGGGGGAGAAAGACACCACATGCATCTCAAGACTGGCAGGGGACCAGCCTGGTCTTTGTTGCATTGTAGAAGCAGAACTGGTAGAGTCTGCAAGGAGCCACAGGCCCGGTACTAGGGCTACGCTGAAACAGCAAATGCTAGATCCCTGGCCCTGGCCACTGTGTTTGCACAGCCAAGGGCAACAGCCCGCTGCTCCCGTCTAAGGGCAGCGGTCACCTAGTCAAAGCTCAAGCCTCCTCCCACCTAGTTCAAAAAAGGGGACATAGTTCAAATGAAGGGACCCATTCTCCACTGCTGTCTATCTTCTGTCATCGCCTACTCTCATGCAAAAGGAACATGATATTATAACATGACATCTCACACCCACTTTGCCCAGTACAACGGCCAACCCCGTAGGACCCAGCAGTACAGAACTGGGCCTGCTATATTTGCTCTGATGTTTCAGTGAGGGCTCCTAACATCTGCTCACCGTCTCCACCAGGGAGCAACAGGTGTAACATATCACAGATGCTCACAGGCTGGCTTCCCCTAAGGGGTTTTTTTTATTATTCATTTTTTAAATATTTTATTTGATTTATGGATTTCACAGTGATGATGAAGGTATTTGCTCCGAGCAAACAGCCCTTCTTGCAACTCCAGGATTTCCAGGAACCTGACTCCCAAGAAATGCATCTCGAGGACTAGCTACATCACTCCCTTCTTTGCAAGAGATGAGTCAGTGCAGAATAGACACTCACTCATTTTAGAAAGCAGGCATTTCATCTGGCTCCTGCCCAGCGTTACAAAGAAAGGAGCACGAACACGCAGCAGAGACCGACACGAAGCAGCAATATTTCAACTCCGATCCAAAACTTCCCTGCTCTGCGGGACAACCTGGCTGCAGTTGTGGTTGGGGACTTTTTAAACCATCTCCATTAAAATCTGTAGAGAAGCAAACCAGTTTAAAAGGTTCACTTAGAGAAGCAACATTCTCCCGCTCCCTAAGTGAACTATAAAGGAAAGAAGCCTCTTCCCACAGCCATATGCATGGTTGTTCCAAGGGCTCTGACCTTTTAAACTGGTTTGAAATGCCCTGGACTCTGCCCTGCAGTGCTGGCAGGTTAATCGCAGGAATTATCAGCTGAAGAAGAGAGACAGCATCGTTTTCCCAGCACTGATACTGGCAGTAAATAATGCACATTACAGTGGCAGTAAATAATGCACAGTCTTTGTCCAGCCCTCTCCCTCCACAGCTCGAGGAATGTTATAACGAACGGAGCTTCGAAGGGTCGGCGGGGGAGCTTAGCTATGCCAGTTCTGTTCATAAGGGGAGCAAGGGTTGGAAAAAAAAAATGAAGGGATTTGGTCAAGGTCACCACCTCAGTCAGTGGCAGAGCCTGGAGCAGACCACATAGAGCCTCATGCTGAAGGCACAAGCCTTTCTTGCCAGCAATGAACTCCAAAGTATCTCTAGACTCCAAACTTGGCATTTCAGACATACAGCCTGGAGTGGCAGCCTATGGATTTCTGGATCTATGGTGAAAACGTAGCTCAGGATCTTCCTGGGAGACTGCTGCTGTCCCTCACCCATAGAGCCATGGCTGCAAGAGGCGACACATCCGAGCAAGAAGCTCCTTGATTTAACAGAGTCATCTCTGCAAAGGGGCCTGAGCTCTGGAGTCAGCTCCCTCCTGCAAAGCAGCTCTGTTTACAGTTCTTGGTGCAAAGGGTGCTGGCTGGAGAAATTCTGGCCTTTGCCATTGACTCTTAGCTCTGGACAGGCCACAACACAGCTAAAGGGACTGCAAACAAGTCAGCCTTTCACTTCTCTGTGCCCAGCCGGAGGCTCTAGTCCTTCCCTCCCAAAGAGTGAAAGCTGATACGCCCTGACACTTGCTCAGGGGCCTGGGTGAAGAGAGCAAGCGGCCTCAAATCTGCTTGCCGATGGGCAAATGTCTGCATTGGAAGCAGCCAAATAAAACCAAGCCTCCTCGCTAGCTGTCCCAGAGAACAGCGAATAGGGAGTACACTATTCTCTCCCTGTCTGGGAAAGTGGGTCCTGTTGTTGCCCGCTCTGTACCTGGTCTGTGGTCATTGCTTGTATGGGCATATTAGAACTAGACTCATCTGTGTGCAATTCTCTGACTGCCCACTGCAAGGCAATAGCATCCCAGCCCTGGCGAGGACTCCACAGCTCTTAACAGCATAGGGAGGGCAGACGCACGTGCAGCATCCACCAGCGGGTGTCCAGAGGAAGGTAACACCTAGGAAATGAAGGGAAGGTTAGTAGAGAAGGCATGCAGGATAGTGCAGGGAGGCACCAGGAAGGGAGGTCTCATGGCCTCACCTCACCATCCATCAGTTTCTAAGTCATATTTCATGCATGTCAGTGGGGGGGGGGGGGAATCTCAAATGCTCACCATGCCAATGAGGCTGGCAGTCCTCCCTATTCCACCAAAGCTGGTCTTGATGAATCAAACTAGACACCAGCCTCGCTCTATGGTGGGGGTATTCAAATGCCCCCACATAGCAAACCCAGGGCTCCTCCAGTTTTAAAAGCAACGAGTTTGGGAGCCATCTATTTACCCACTGCCTTAACGGTGATACCGTTGGCAAGAATAAGAAGCTAACAATGCCTTAAAGGCCAGTAAAGCCCAATGAGCCAGCAGGAGCTGGCCAAAGCAGCCACTGCACTGGTGTCTGCTACGGCCCAGTCGCACCTTACCCAACGTGCAAGGGTTGGGCAAGGATAAAAAGAGCAGGACTTGCTACTGAGAGTCACTGGAGTGGCCATGCCTCAGACCTGCCAGTAGCATCCCCAACTGACCAGCTCCCCTCGAAGATTTGGGGGAGGGAAGGAAACAGTTGAAGCTCGAACTCAAAACAAATCTCAAAGCAGGGGAACCCCACACACACATGTTCGCATCCATGTTGAGACGTGCTACCAGGAAGCGCAGCAGCGTTCACGATGTACCAATCCAGACGCTCAGCACAGAGCGGGGCCATGCGGCATTGAACACGAGTAACCCCTATTTCAGAAATAATGCATTATAATAATTTATTTCCATTCCACCCAGAGACAGCGTGCTGGAGCCAGGCTGCTGTATATTTGACAGACATGGAGGAGTTGGTGTATTACAGATAATGAAATAGTTTAAGGAAACTGC